TTCTAGGATCCTCCTTCACAGCGCATTCCATTTCTTTCTTGATGACCTCAAACACAGTAGGACAAGTAGACTTGTAGTAATCTAGGGACAAGGGAAGATCTTTTCCCGTAACATCAAATGAAAAACCCGGTATAAGGACAGAACAGACGACCAAAAACACGGCGAGAAGTTTCATTTTTTGTTTCTGAAACCCTGATCTGAATTCAGGATTTAGTAAGGAAAATGTTGAACTGAGGGAGTCAAGGAGTGGGAGAGAAGGGTTGGGGGAATGTAAGAGATATATAAGAGAAAAGCAATGTATAGGGTTTTCAGTTGCTTGCATGACAAGGCTTTTGAGAAGTTGGTCAAGGGAGATGCAACTAATTTGTGAAATGGTTGTTGGGTTTTCTTTTGACTAAATAGAAATAGAATATATATATATATGATAGATTATCAATAATAAATATAGAGAGAGCTTTTACAGCAATGTCTACGCAACTAATATCACCAATTTCTCAATACATAGTCCAAGAGTACCATTTCTGAAGCAGTGGATTGCTTCTACTATGACCTGCCTGCTGCAAAGAGAGGAGTGAAGTCCGCATCGATCTGTCAATCCGTTGTCGGAGAACCTGAGTAGTCGAAGCCAAGTTTTTGAACACTCGGCAGTTTCGTTCCTTCCAAATTTCGTAAACCGCATGTTGGATAAGTGTTTTCAATACCATTCTTTTTTCCCAGCCATCCGTCGGTGGAATTTGCTCTAGCCACTGTCGACATCTCAGAAGCTCAGCCGGAGGGTTAGCCCTAATCTTCGCTGCAAGCGGCTTCCAAGTCTCCAAGCTGAATGCGCATCGGAAAAATAGATGCTCATGTGTCTCCTCCTCCTCGTTGCACAACACACATGTTGAGCTTTGTGTAATGTTCCATCGAAATAACTTGTCTCGCGTTGGCAACCTCCTCTGCATAACCATCCAGTGAACAAAAGCATACCTTGGGATCGCATATTTAAACCATACTAGATCAGCTCATTCCACCTTTGGAGAAGCTTGCCTCAGTAATCTCCAGGTACTTGTTGTCGAAAATTCATCCTTGTATACATTCTCAGCTATCTTCCACTCGAATCTGTCTTCGCCACGAGTTGGTTCAGGAACGTCTTGAATTAGGAGCTGTACATGGAGCTCTTGAATCCTGCTGGATCTAGCGCCAGGTAGTGACCAATGTCCCCCCGCTGTAGCTGCACTAACCGTACTGTTTATCGGAATCCTGAGGAGTCTAGGTCCGTCCCTCCCAATGTAATCAAGAAGAGGACCTAGAGCAGTCCAATTATCATGCCAGAAGAGAGCAGTACCTCCATTTCCGATCCTGCATCTAATAAACCTCTTTGCTAAGTCCTTCATTCTGATCAGTTTCTTGATATTCCAAGAGTGTCTAGCCGTCGGCATAGTACTCCAATAAGAGCCATCTCTCAACACGTTCTTCCTTAGCCAAGCTACCCAAAGTGAGCTCGCATCCTTGAAAAAACTCCATACCATCTTTAG